TTACTTAAAAAAAAAAATATATATATATATATATATATATATAAAGGAAACATTTCTCTCTTTTTTTTAGTTTAACTTGATGTACTTAACTGAAACTGAAATAAAAAAACAAAACCTATATAGACATATTAATTTTTTTTTTTTAAATGTATGCATTCATAGGCAGTGTCCGAAAGCTCTAAAAGGCTGCCTTCTTTTGCACTTTTGATGTTATTTCTAGCGAGAAATCAGTGTTGTAGTAATTAAATATTCATTTAGTTATCACCAAAACTCGTTCTATTTTGTTGTAGATCATTCTTCGTGCAAAAACGCTGCCTGCAAAGTCGTTGCCTGATAAGGCAGCTGCCTAGTCTTTTGGACTCAGCCATACTTTTTTTGGATAATTTTTTGTAAGACTCGCCCATTCACACGAGTAGAAAGCAAAACTGTTGATACATACAAAACACAATGATCCAAAAAATCTAAAGGAGGGTTAAAATGATCAATATAGTGATTGTGAATGATATTTTTCTCATTTACAGATACTCCTCAAGGCAGGGATTCATCTGTGCATGTCATTTTCCAAAGATGTTCCTTTGAAGAACAATCATCTCAAAACACAACAACGATGTTTGTGGTGCTCTGTCTACAGTGCAGTTTTTCCATACACTGACCTTTGACCTGGATCACAACCGGACCGCAGCTGAGTAAGTGTGAACGAGAGAGAAAACAAACGCTCACAGACTCTTTTCTAACAGAAGAGGAACATCTGCGCAAAATAAACATCTTGTGTAACAGTCATTGTGTTGTACAGATGTAGAACGTGGGATGTTTTTAACTTGACTTGGCAGTTCTTCCATGTTCACCTGCCAGCCGCTTCCACAATGAGAAACACATTCAGTCTCTTACATAATGCAGCAGTTTACAGGTTTAAAGTCAGCATGAAATCATGTTATAATCTTTCATTGGACAATTTGCCATGAAAACAACCAAGCGCCAAATAATTATTTAGTCATTTGTGCTGTTGCTGTAGATCTTTTAATCTTTTCTAAAAAACTTGTAAGTGGTTAAAGAAATAGTTCAACCAAAAATTTTAAATATTTATTGAAAAATCACTTTCAGGTCATCCAAGATTAGGATGAGTTTGTTTCTTCATCAGATTTGGAGAAATGTAGCATTGCATCAGTGTCTCAGCAATGGATGCTCTGCAGTGAATGGGTGCCGTCAGAATGAGAGTCCAAACAGCTGATAAAAACACCACAATAATCCACAGCACTCCAGTCCATCAGTTAACATCTGGAGACGACAAAAGCTGCATGTTTGTAAGAAACAAATCTATCATTAAGGCATTTTTAACTAAAATATGAGTACATAATCCACAATAATGCTTCTTCCAGTGGAAGAAGTAGTCTGGTCTGAATCAGGAGAGAAATCTGCACAGATGAAGCAGCATTTACAAGCCAAAACAGCTCTAAACAAATATGTGGCTGGATTTTGATGTGAGAGACAACAGGAGATGCACTTTTTCACTGGAGAGCGTCATTATGGATTATAGACTCTAGTAGATTATAGTATTTTAGTCGGAAGTAAAGGTTTGAAGTAAAAAAAGTCTTGTGGAAAAAAACTAAAATTGTGGATTATTATAATGTTTTTATCAGCTGTTTGGACTCTCATTCTGACGGCACCCATTCACTGCTGAGCATCCATTGGTGAGCAAGTGATGCACTCTGCTACATTTCTCCAAATCTGTTCCCATGAAGACACAAACTCATCTTGTATGGCATGAGGGTGAGAACAATTTCAGCTAATTTAAGATCATTTTTGGATGAACTATTTCTTTAATGCAGCAATTCAGTGGTGGTTAACATTAATGCAAGTTTACAGCAATAATAGCAAATCAGGAATTATTTTTAAAAAGAAGCCCGACCTTCATATTGACTTTTAAACTGATCTGATTAAATGTACAGTATGCCACGTGACCAGCGAATGTGAAGGCTGTGTTCTCATAAAGTGAGCTGTACATACTGTGTGACACGCAGGCAGCAGGTCATGTTCGCTGGAACTTTACGACTGTAATATATGTCTTTAATAAGTATCAGGAGCTGTGTTCCGAATTTAATGCTAGCATACTGCATAGTATGCACTGCATACTTATTTTTTACTTTAAACCGTAATTGAAACCGTATGCAATCATAAACGCTTCTTACTGCTATCAAATGTTCTCATGGCATTGCATGTTTCAACTTATCTCATTTTAATGCAGTTTTATCTGAAAATATCTGTCTTCATCTTTGGCAGTTCAATCAAATGAGTCAGCAAGGTTGATCATGGTTGATATGATTTACTTTTCATTCATCACACTAGAAATTGAAGGTCAAGTTGAGTGTGTGGCATAGTGGAATACAGTATTCATACAGTAAATACAGAAAATTCCATGCATACTGTAGAAATAGTTCGGTAGTATGATATTCTTAACACAGCTGAAGTGTTTGGCACAGTGAGTCGCCTGAATTCACTGTAAGTAATCCATGTACATAGACTCTGTCATGCAGCTCCACCGTACTTCCCATTATGACATCACAGGAGGCGGAGCTTGTTTTTCCTCCCTTCATAATGCCTTATGGGTACTCTGATATATCAATAATTAGATACAGTGAGTTCTTATAACAAATGTCTCAGTAACACTACAGTAAGGTTCTATCTGTTAACTACATCAGTTAACATGAACGAATAATAACATTTACTAAAGCATTTATTAATTTGAATGTTAACTTCTATGGAGATCCAAACATGCAAAAATAAAAAAATTAATGAATAAATGTAATAATAGGAAAATCACTAAAGGAATAACTGACTTGCTAATACAAATAAAATATTTTTTTATTTAAAAAAAAATATTTTTGGTATTTTCCCCCTTTATTTAGTATGTTCTTAATTTAGTGGTAACTGTATTTTTATTTATTTAAAATAAACAAATTAATTCATTTCTTTTTGTATTTATTCATTCCCACGAGTAAGATACTCAGTAATTTCAACATTTACTAATACATTATTAAAATTGAATTACATAAACTAACAACAAACAGTGGTATTTAACAAATATTAATAAATACTGTAACAGATGAATTGCTCTTTGTTAGTAAATGCATCCACTTTAACTAATGAGGCCTTACTGTAAAGTATTACGTCTGATATATTTTTCAGCTCGACACAGAGCAGAGTGACTAATTTCACAATAACAGCAATAAACATGACATTTTATTAAGCAAATTCATTTAATGGCATCGTTCCAGGTTAATAGTTGGTCTGCTGATTTTTGCAGTGATACACTGGATTGACCAATCAGCATGCAGTAGCACATAAGCGCTCATAATGCATTTTGAAGGGATAATTTCAGCCACATTATTGTATAATGTACATTATCAGACTGTTTAACAGTGTACTGTGTGTAAATCATTTGTATCATAGGATGTGCAATAAGTGAATGAGTTGCTAACATTGATGATGTGACAATTAATAAAAGTAAAATATAACTGTCAAGCTTTGTATTTTACATTTTCTGGTTGCATGACTCCCAGTTGTCGGGACGGATTTCCTGGGAAACTGCATACTTTCATCATTCGTCTGCGCATGTACATGTCATATCTGTGAGTAAATGAAAGGAGGTCAGGTTACTATCGTATACGTAGCTTGAAGCCACAACAACTGAACCTCGAAACAAAAAGAGTTTGCAAGCAAAACCGGAAAGCGACAGAACTCGTAATAAAACATGAATCAACACTGCTGTGCATTAAATAGATGACAAAACATTGTTTACTTTGGTAACTGTACCAAACCAGTTACAAATCAGTTTTTTCTATTTGCCTGTAACTATTTGACTGTATCAGTTATCTGATATTGTTTCAGCGCTGCCAGACGTTTGTAACATTATTTTAACAAGTCATAACAACAGCGGCATATAAGCTGCTAACCTGCTCATAAGACATATATTGCTGGATATCAGCTTTCATTATTCGTTGTGTTTTGATGTAATTTGCACTGATAAAGCGATCATTATCACAGTGGTGCCTCAAAACAGAAATGGGGCATGACAGAATGTCAGAAACAAAACATTACAAACAAATCCAGCCTGAGCTCCATTAACTCATACGGTCTGCAATCTCAAGTCACGCTGGAAAAACTGATAATTTTCAAAGCTTTGACCTAGTAAAGCAAAGCCTTTTGGCTTTTTATGTTTTGGCCATTTATGTTGTCATGTAGATAAATAATAAAAGAACTGGTAGCCTATTAGGTCTATGTTTTTAGTCAAAGTATGTAGCCAAAACAAGTAAACAAGCTTCCATAACACTTCACAATAATGTCCCATTAATTACTCCATTAAATAATATTAACCAATAGGCCTACAACTTGTACTTTTAATAAGGTATTAGTAAATGTTGAAATTAAAATGAACTAGTAAATTAGAAGTATTTTTCATAAACTAATTTTTACTAATGGAACCTTATTGTAAAGTGTTACCCAGTTTCCATATTCAAAAGCAATTAAACATCAGTAAACATTTATTTCTTAGGTTTTGAAATAGAGGATTATATAGGAATTATATAGGAATAATATATGCATTTAAGAATAAATATTTAAGTCTGAAAGTCTAATTAAATAAGTAAAAAAGCATGAATTTTGACTTGGAAATTTAATTTAAGTATTCAGTTTCACTAGTTAAGTACAAATTTAACAAAATATTATTTAAATGTAATATTAAAATATACCCACTCAAGTTTTTATACTGTTAAATGCATGATTATTATCAGTACACACAATAAAAAAATGTATGTTTACTGTCACAAAAGGAAACTTGTGTGACTCATGTAATCTATTTTATCATAAAATCAAAGTTCAAAGCTTCAAAAAATGTCTTACTTTTAATTTGTTGTATATTACTCAGAAACAATGACATAGGCGTGATAAAAACTTTGAAGTTCATCTCCTCAATGTCAGACGACTGATAATTATGAATTACTGAAAGATAAAGGATCATAACTTGAATGAATATTAACACTGTTGCAATAAGTCTTTTTGCAGTCATTCAAGGAAGTGAAATGTTAGTATTATCATTTACACTTGGACTCGAATTGATTTTATTAAGATGCTATGAATGACACATTTTGTGAAATGATTTGGATCCGAAACCTTCTTTACAGTCTTATATATAATATATAAATATATATACAATATATATATATATGTATGTATAAATATGTGTGTATATGCAGGTTACATATAAAATAATAACAATTTTTAATAATTATTTTTAATAAAATTATTTATAAACATATACAATTGTATTAATAATAAAATGATCAATCTTCCGTATCTTAGATTAATTAGTAGGCCTATTAAATCAGTATTAATCAGTATTAAGTACATAATTTATTGCAGTTGTAGGTCATGTAGTTTTCGATTCATAGCTTTGATTATGAAATGTAATGATCAGCAAACAATTTATGTAGTATGCATTTATTTCTGACCAAAATATTTAGTAAAGATTGTGTCAGTAGTCAATATTATATATATATATATAACAGATGAAGTTTGCATTGATTTCTGACCACAAATTTTTTTTACAAAAATAAAAACATTTACAAATATTGAAAATTTGTGTTTTTGTAAATATTTTGTAATTCCTCTGCTGTAAATTGGCAGACTAATACAGTGGCAATGATCAGTATTTATATTCGTTATCAGATATTAGCCTATATATAGCCTAGCGTGTGTGTGTGTGTGTGTGTGTTCTGACAACGATTAAATTTATAATCTGAGCGATAAACATATATATTGCTTATTATATAAATGAGCAGAACCTCTGTAGCATGTATTTATATATGAATTTTGATTTATGAATGTTATTTTGTGTTTACTATTAGATTCTGAGTTGTCTGTCGTGTAAATTACGTGTTTATTCCTTTACCTTTATCACGTCCTTCGTTTCGGTAGTGTCGGTAATGTGTGTTGTTAAACACAAACTATGAGCGAGCTGGCTTGATTTGGTGGTATATTTCCACTCTTTAATTGCCCCTCAGAGCAGCACCGTCCCTCGAGCTGCTGACAGATGCGGAGCAACAGGTGCGACGGTGGAGCAGGGCCAATATGCAAATTAGAAAGACTCCTCAAATGCTGATTGGTTCCCCGAGAGCGACCTTATTGGCAAGCAACCCACGTAGACGTGACCCAAAGCCGAACCGCCTATATAATGAAGGCGAAAGCCTAGTCCATCAATGAAATAGTAAAGCGAGGGAGATTCTGGGAGAGAGAGAGGAGAGAGAGACTAGAAGCATTCCCGACTGTATCGGCAATTCAAGGAAGAGATTCCTTTGCTAGGAAGACCAATATCAAAAAGGATCAGAATGAAGCTTATTATTGGAATAGGAGGGTGAGTAATCTTCGAGATCGACATATTGAACTTCTATATCATTGTTTAATAAATGTGTGATGTGTATTTTTCAGTGTGACCAATGGAGGCAAGACAACTTTGACGGGAAGACTCATAAAGAACTTACCAAACTGTTGTGTTGTACATCAAGATGATTTTTTCAAGGTATGGAGAGAATCCACATTTTTTATTTTAAACTTGTCAGCTTATTTTACTACTTCATTTATATAAAGATACACTCTGTGGCCCATAAGATGTATTTGGACACTTACACCAAACTTCGGAATGTTTGAATCTCATTGCATACCATCTAATGCAATTAATTTAATGCATTTTAAGTTTGATTTAAGTGTCTGAATACTTTAAATAGAATGAACGCCACAGTATTTCCAAGGGACAAAAAAGGTAAAGGCGTTTAGTCATTGGTTGTATTTATGGATCCATATTGTGGTTCATGAACCTTATGCTGGTGTTCTCCTGGACAGCCAACCTCAAAAACCCAACAAATGAATGCATTTCGAGGTGCCTAAATACAGTACAGTCTAGCAGGCATTCATTTGCACTCCTAATTCCACTAATACGATTCTCTTGCTCATGCATTTATCATTCTGTGGCATGTAAGAGGATCTGGCAACCTTCATAGCAACAGTTGCTCCCCGAGAGCTCATATCGATATATTTAATAACACCTCTTAAGTGCATCACACACACATTCCTAACTCTCATTGGAGGCTCTTCTCTCTAGAATTGCATTGGCGACATGCTACAGATAATTCAGTCCAACAAATGCATAACTGCGCATTTGGTGCATTGCAACCAAATTACTCTCATGCACACGATTGAAATTGAAGATGATTTTAGAGGACTAGCCTGAGGGCTTGGCGTCACATGTCCAGGTGGGACCAGCACTGCCTGAGCGATCCACACCTTTTTGTTTTATTGGTCACTGTTATTGCAGCCCCAAGATCAAATAGAGCTCGGGGAGGACGGCTTTAAACAATGGGATGGTAAGAATGGCTTTCGCTGTGGGATGAGAAACAGTAACGTATTCCCACCTTTCCATAACCCTTCTGATGTTTGCATTATTGTAACATAAACCTAAGCAAAACAATTATTCTTGCATTGCACGTCAAAAGTCTGGACACACTTAAGGATTGAAATGTACTGCATATGTATGCATTTTGGAGCAGATAGTGAAGAAAAATCATTATTATACGTGTTCCTCCTTCTTTAGTGTTTAAAAGCATCTCAAGATGAACTCATGAAGTTAACTGATGAACAGTGAGAAGAGCTGCTAAACAAAGAAGACTTTATCATTCTCACATTTCCATTCATGTTCTATTATAGCTGTAATAAAGAATAAGTGTGTCCAAACTTTAGACTGGTAGTGTAAATTTGACTCACAGTCCTATTATATTAATTATTAACATCCCTAAAAAGGAGAAGTCTTTAATGCATTATTTTATTTTTCATTATCCAAGCATGTGAGACACGTCTTGTCTTTTTTTTGTCTGCTTGTGTAGTGATTACCGCCTTGGACATGGACGCCATGGTGAACACGGTTAAGGGATGGATGGAGAACCCGGTGAAGTTTGCACGCTCCCACGGCGTGACCGTTTCACCCGCATCTGACGGCTCGGACCCTGAGCGCGAGATCCACATACTCATTATCGAGGGATTTCTTCTTTATAACTACAAGTAGGCATCTTTTTAAGTTGCATTGGTTTTATTCAGCTTAAAGATTTGAATGGTTGATGGTTTCTTCTTGTTTCCGCCTCCAGGCCTTTGCTTGACGTCTACAACAAGTGCTACTATGTCAGCATTCCATATGAGGAGTGCAAAAGGAGAAGAAGGTGAGAACAGTTTTTAAAGATCAGATGTTTTTAGATGATTCTGTTTTCTAACAAACCCGTCTCCTCCATTTCAGTACGAGAACGTACACCGTTCCTGACCCTCCTGGTCTGTTTGATGGCCACGTTTGGCCCATGTACTTGAAACACAGGCTGGAGATGGAAAACTGCGGCCTAGATATCCGTAAGTCAATCAATCTAGCGATTAAAATGGCATTTGCAACCCATTTCACATCTGTAATGTGTAACTCGCATGCACGATTTGTATCTGCAGAATATCTGG